GTGTAGCGCACCGAGCCGCACCGAGACTGTTGCCGTGTTGACAGCGCCGCGTCCTTGGCTCGGCCATAACAAAACGTGGTATTTTGGCCCGTGCAAAGTGTTGCCGCCGTTTGGTTCCGTTCGTTGCCAGACCCAGCACACCACCAAGCAGGCCTCAAGGCGTCACGGTCTCCCCCCACCCCCTTCAAAACGCGCCGCGTGTTATTCCTAGCCGCACATATCTGGCAGAGGTGGACGACAAGTGAATAGCGCGATCAACTTTGGAAATAACACATCCGAGAATTACTCCGTGTTGTTGGCGAGCCCGAATTCGTATTTTTAGGGCCTCGCGTCGTGATGTCGCGGTCTAGTGCGCCGCAGGGTGGCCGCGCTCGTCACGGCCACCTTTCAGAAGAAAAACAGGGAAAAACAAAACAAAAGCAGAAAATCGGGGCTCACCTCGCATCCCCTGCTGGCATTCCGCGGAATTCCCTGAAATTCACTGGAACTCCCTCTGGCATCCCAATAAAAGGACAAGACAATTCGTTTTTTTTATTTTTTTTTATTTTTAGGTTCCTGCTGTTTTTTTTTGTCTGTGAAATAAAAGGCTTCGACGATATCCATCCTGACCGCGTCCCGACCCGGGCGACAAAGGGGGGTGGCTTATTTTCTGGCAAAAGCAATCGGGTTTGGGGGAAGGGGGAGGGGCGCATATTCATCCCTGGGCTTAAAGAAGACGACTGATTGGAAATAATGAGGTCCACTAAAAATAGGCGGGCTTCACTAGTGAAATGCTGGGGAGGAAAAAAAGGGGCGGGGGAGGTCGAGTGTCACTTCTTTTTATCTCTCGCCAGTGGAGTGGCTCGGCTCCTCTGATTGAGGCAGCAGAGCTACACGACGCCCGGGGATTTAGGCCAGTCGGATAATTACTGGCAAGATTCGGTTATCGAGTGGTGCGCACGGCGCTACCGCGGTTCCGGCCCCCTCAGGGGAGACGCGGCAGTGGGCCAGAAGACCGGTGGGGGCGGCTAAAATTCCGGACGCGATTTGAGTTCCAGAGTCGCTAAGTGGGACTCGAACCGAACGTGTGACCCCATCAATGGATTGCTCTGCGAACGAGGTGGGGTCACACGCTCGATTCGAGTCCCAGTTAGCGTCTCTGGAGCTCAAAACGCGTCTAGAGTTTTGGCCGTCTGCGCCGGTCTTCTGGCCCACTGCGCGAGGGGCTGCCCTGCTTCTTTTCGGCCGGGCGAACAATGAGGCTTGTTTACGACGTCGATGTGCAGCTGACAGGCTATTCATTTCCTCACCAGCGGCACAAAGTCGAACCTAATACCGATCATGATGTAGCCGGAGACTACTGTAATCGAGAAAATAATTCCCCACGCGCGCGGCGCGCGGGGGTAATCGCAACATACGAGTTGTCGAGCATCAACAAGCTGTCTTTTTCTTTTGCGGTTTTTTTTATGTCTTTTTTTTTTGCCGAGCCGTCAGGTTCGCGCGAGGGCACCGCGGGGCACCGCCGGGCACCGGCAGCGACTTGCCGGTAGTGGATGGACGGACACGTGCGTGGCGAGTGGCAAGGGGGGGACTGCCACCGCCACCGCAGTTACAGTGTGAATGACTTCACGACGCCCCAATTCACGGCCGAAGAAAAAGCCAGTAGGGTTATCGTCGCCACAGGCTGCGGCAGGCGAGGCGCGTCGTCGCTACCCCGCGCGCGAGGGACTGGCTGAGACTAGCGTCGCTAGCGTTGCGGGCAACCCCGGGCCTCGGGGTCTCGACGGTCTCGGCGGGTCGTTTCGGTTCTTTCGGCGGCGATAGTGCAGTGCCGCAGCAGACGGATTCCGAGAGTCGTTTGCGTCGCTCTGCCTCTCTCGCACTCACGGGGCGTCCCGTAAAGGTGCGGGGGAGAGAGCGCGACGAAAACGACTCTCGGAATCAGTCCACAGAGGGGCGCACAGCGTGGCACGACGTGCGTGCCCCCGTGCATGTGTGGCCCGGGCTTGTTTTGACGCACTATCAGTGGTAGAAAGAAATAAGAAATGACACCGGAAACGGCCTGGGCAGACCCAGACGGCGGCCCAGTGGCAGTGTAGTGGCAAGGAAAGTCACAGGGGCGGCCGGAGCCATTCCCAAGGAATGTCTCCCTCGCACCCCCACGGGCCCCCCATCAGTGCGAGAGAGACAGAGAGACGCAACGATCCGTCCTTACTGCTGGGCAGGGGGGCGGCCTGGGGCGGCACCATGGAACCGCGAATTGGGCCCGGAGCCGGATAGCCGGATATCGGCTGGCCGCCCGATCTTCCCCGATCTTTGCAAGGCCGCGCTGCCTCGCTGCCGCGTTGGCCGAGTTGGGCCAAATCGTCCGAAATCCATTATAGCGCTGATGGGCCTGGCGGAGCGGCGGGGCTGCGGCAGCTTGCCCGCAGAATGATTGCGAGAGTCGTTTTCGTCGCTCTATCTCCCTCGCACCTGTGCCAGGCGCCCCATGATTGCGAGAGAGACAGAGCGACGAAAACGACTCTCGGAATCAGTCTACACTGGGCGCCCGCCTCCCCCGTCGGTCCATCTTCCTTTTTGTTGTTCCATTGTGCCTACACGCGCGCCCCGTGGCCCCGTGTGGCCCCGTGCGCCTCGCCCTGGCCGTCAGGCCATCAGGCCTTCGGGTGAAATTCCCGCCCGAGTTTCGTCAGAATTCCGCGCCGCCCCTCCATGCGTTGGCAGTTCTGCCCCGCCGCGCCCCGCCCCGCCCCGGCGTGTTTCTTGTAAGTACATTCCGCTGTGCCTTGCGCTTGCACTGATAGCGGCCGGCCGGGGCGGGCCGGGGCGGGGCGGGGCGCGGCGGGGCGGCCGAGGCGCGATCATACTACACACTCGATGGGGCGACAGATAACGCGCGTCTCATTGTCTGGCTTACATGTGTCCACCATGTCCCGAGGCGAGGGTGCAGCCCGTGCAGCCGCCCCGCCCCGCCCCGCCCCGCCCCGCCACGCATCGGTGCTGCCGTGCGACGATAAGCAGTGCCTGTTTTGGTTGGCCCGCCATCAGCCGGGCCAGCCGACCGCAAGCTGCACACACAGGGGCGCATACCTCGGGGGAACTTCCTCGTCCCCCGGTTGGCTTCTGGTGGAGCTCTAGAGGCGGGCAGGGTTGGGGCTCGGGATGGTCGGGTTAGGCTGGACGGCAGGGCGCAAGCTTGCCCCTGGAAGTGCCCCTGGACACTGCTGCATCGAGACAGGGCCCCGGGTTAGGCTGGACGGCAGGGCGCCAGCTTGCCCCTGGCAGTGCCTAGGTGAGGTCAGGACACTGCTGCATCGAGACAGGGCCCCGTCGAAGGTCCAGCCAGGTGGAAGCGACGGTGCTTGTGCTCGTCGCGGGTTCGAGCCCCACCCCTTCCCTTTTGTTTGGGGCTCCGCCATGGCTGCGCCCCGTTGTTCCTTCCGCCTGCGCACAGCCTCGCCTTTTCAACCTGCAGTGCCCTGCCGTCGCTCTGTCCCTCTCGCACTCACGGGGCCCTCCGCAAGGGTGCGAGAGAGACAGAGCGACGGCCCGCCGCCCCTTTCAGTCTCGCCGGCGCCTTTCAGCGCGACCATCGCGCGGAAACTCATCCGGCAGAGTGAGCGCAGCAGCGCAGCGGACATTCCGAGAGTCGTCGCTCTGTCTCTCTCGCACTCACGGCGCGTCCCGTGTAGGTGCGAGAGAGACAGCGCGACGACTCTCGGAACCAGCCTGCTGGAGCGAAGGGACCCTTCGCCGCTTCGCCGCGCGGGCTGCGCTCAGCAGACCCGCCATCCCCAGCAGGGCTTTCGTCGCGCCGTCACTCTCGCACTCATGGGACGCCGCGCAGGCGACCCGGCGGCCGTGCGGGTGCGAGAGAGACAGCGCGACGGGACGCTCTTTCAGTGCTCTGTCGGGCTCTGCCCTATCTCGCTGAATGGCCGGGCTGGCGCGGCTGGCGCGGGTTCAACACCCGGCCGGGCCGCTCGACTTGCATGTGCACTGTGCAGCGGCCGCCGTGGCCGCGGTCGGGCCACCGCCTCCTTCTAGTCCAGTTAAAGGCAACCGACGGCGGTGACGAGGCGGGGCGGGGCGAGGCAACCTCTGCCTCCCGCGAATGGCTATTTCGGGACACTGCCCTGGCAGTGCCCTGGCAGTGCCCTGGCAGTGCCCTGGCCCGCGGGGGCAGCGGGGCCCGCCTGGCCTGGCCTCGCCGAGTGCAATTCGTGCCAATTCGCTCGTCGCCGCGTTGGTCGCGCCCGTTACGGCCAATCAGGGCTCGGCTCTGCCCCGTCCTGTCCGTCCCGGGAGTGCCCTGTCCTCCGAGCCGTCACACGCACACACGCACGCACACACACAGCCGCGCTCTGCAACTGGAGCACGCGGCGAGCACCCGCCCAGCCAGCCAATCCGAAACGATCGTTCCGTCGCACCTCAGGGAGCGTCCCGCAAGCGTGCGAGAGAGAGACAGAGCGACGAGAACGGTCCTCCGGGATCACTGGAAAGGGAAAGGGAAGGGCACTGTGCGGGTAGCTACAGTGCCTTGCGGTGCCTTGCAGTGGCGTGCCTGGCAGACGTGCAGTGCCGGGCCGGGCCGTGCACTATCGGTGCACCACGCACCAGATAAAAGGGCGTCGCTTGTTGGTGGGGCTCCGAGGCTTTGAGCCACACGCTGCACTCTCTCGCACCCATACGGGACGGCCCGTCAGGGCGAGAGAGACAGCGCGACGAAAACGACTCTCGGAATCAGTGGGGCAGCCGCTCGCTCGGCCGCCTGCTTTATGTTTGAATGTTTTCCGGGGGTGGCGGCGCTGCGCGTTGCGCCCCTCCCTTCCCCCTCCCCCTCCCCCTCCCCCTCGCCGCCCTGTCCGGTGCTCCGACCTCCGCGTCTGCGGCCTTGGGGCCTTGGGGCTTGGGGCCGCGGCAGGCCGCTATCAAAGAAGGAAGACTGATAGGACTCGTCGAGTGCCGCAAGTGCATCAGCCTGCACGGCCTGCACGGCGTACAGTGCATCAGTCCGTCCCACCTGCCCGCCGCGTGGAGAGGGAAAACGCGGGCTTCTGCCCGTCTCTCTCGCACTCGAACGGAGCGCCCCGCCAGTGCGACAGAGACAACGCTCTTCTGGATCGCGTCGGCAGCGATGACGGTACTCATTGCGGCCGTGACCCGCACGATGTCAGTCCTCCTCCACGCCGGTTGCCCCGGTCTTCCCTGCGAGCGTCGCGCGTCGCGTTTGCGCGACTGTACGGGATGCTGGGCGCGCGGCCGGTGGACTCCCCGGCCAACAGGCGCCTTCCCGCCTTCCCGCGCGTCGCTCGACAAACGACGAGCGGACGCCGTTTTCAAACTTGTTTACTGTTTTGAATGACGCTGGCGCAGCAGAAGGAACGCGAGTGGGTGTTCGACGAGGTGCCGCGGCCATGGACCTGATGGACCTGCGTGCCTTCATCGAGGGCCAGAAGCACCGACTTCGCCAGGACCGGGCCGCGCTGCGCTACGACCACAGTGCCAAGCCGCCGCCGGAGGCAAGTGTCATCCTCATGCTGGCGAGGTTATGTTCGTGTCGCTCTCCGGCTGTCCGGGTCGTTCTCGCCGTTCAAACTCTGACGCGGTGAAATGATTTCACTCCCCGCTGTCAGGGCTCGTCTGGAAATCCCCGGTCGGAGCGTGGTGCGTGCTCGGGGCGCCCAGAGGGCCGCGCTAGTTGTGCCTGTCACGGTTGCCGGCGGTTTCGGCCCTTTCTTTGCCTTCGCCCATGACACGGGACTTGGACCTGGCGACTCAGTTTTTGTCTGTTGCGTGCCGCACGCGTTGCCTCCCTACCTCAACGCCAGCGCCGCCGCCGTCACGGCCCCGCCCCGCCCCCGCCCCGCCCCCTGGCCCGGAGTCTTGGCTATTGATTGTCCTGGCCGGCCAGCCAGCCCCGGGCAGCCCGTCCTCGGCCCGGCCTCGGCCCGGCCGTGCCATACTTTGCCCCCATCTGCAACCCCCGGCCCCGACGGCCCCAACCCCTGCCCGGCGGCCGCGCCACCTTCAAGCTCTTTCGCCTTGGAGGTTGCATGCCAGACTGCCATTAGTTGGCTGGAAGTCTCCCTCCCTGGGGGTTGCCGTAAGAACTGGCGCCTCCCAGAAGGTGCCTTGCAGCTCCGCAGCTCACAGGCCTGTGAATCCTGGGGGTGTTTGCAGGCTGGTTCTCACAGCGTGACTTAAGTTGTGTCGCCTCTAAGTTGACAAGCCTCATTACCCTTGAAAACAAGGTGCTGTGTGCTTTATTTCGTGCCTAGCAAATACCATTTCTATATCAGTCCTCTGACACAAATATTGTGCAGACTAGTTGTAATTTTTATGTATGTCGGAATGTATTTTTATGGTTTTGAATTACCGCTTGAGTGTAATTATTTTTCTATTGTGTTACAGAATTTTTTGCATTCTTCATCTCCAACAACATCAAGCCAGAACACATCCGTCAATGAAGAAATAGAATCGTCCCAAGTGTCAGCTTTATTGTCTGAAAGGATTAATAACCTTAATAATTTCAAAAGTCAAGTGCGTACAAATGGGGAAGGAAATGAAAATTTTGACTACCAGCTGGAATGCAGTACTCAACCTGGCAGTCAAAGTGTGTTAGATGAAAATATACAGAAAGGTGAAAAAGAAGCATGTGAAGAGCAGCCAAGTAGGGACCGTGAGGTGGAGAAACTTCAAGAAAAGTTTGCATCAGTACCCTTTTGGGACAACTTTGGCAGATCAGCTACAGCAAAACGGTGGAGTTCCGATGTAAGATTTTTTTGTCTTTATAATTTGGTGTAAAATTGAAGATGTATTTAATTTTTTTTGAACACCTTTCAACTCACAGGCTCCAGGTGCCATGGTGCGGGTTGGTGAATTTTCACCAGCAAATCCTGATCTGCAAGCTCCAGGCAAAGCTCTTTTGGGTCTTGGAGAATATGAAGAGCGTCGTCGTCAGTTGTTAGAAAAGAAAAAGCAGGAGTACAAAGAATATTTGTCGCATTCTAGAAATGTTTTACAAAGGACTGATCACCTGGTGCATCATGCTCCACAAAAAAGGTTTGGCTTCCTGCTTAAAAAAAAAAAAAAAAGAAAAAAAACCTGTTGAACTCTTTTACTTGCTTATGAATGTTAATTGTTCTCTGTTGCTTTACAGTGACTTGGAGAATTCCAATGCTGTAAATGGCTTAATGCATAAAGTGACTGATCATGTACCTCCAAGTATTTCTGTGGATGCAGCAACTCAAACTGAAAGTTGGTTGGTAAGTAACACTTGCACTTGAAACTTGCACTTTTTCTTCTGTAAAAAAACAAATTAAATGTGAAAAATAAACAACATCTTGTACAATAAACTTACAATTGTTGCAGACTGAGCAAGCCAGCAGGGATACCCAACCAGCTCAGGTTACACTGTCAGTTAGAGACTCTACCAGTCCCATTCCACAGCTGAGCCCTAGAGGTGTGTATTATCAAATATATTTTTGGCATGTCAAAAGTAATTCTTATAGGCACTAAAATTTCACATTTATGCTTTTCCGACCCTCCAACTTCAAATAAATGTATTTCCTTTTCTAAGCAGTCTTTTCAGTTTTGTCTGCTTATGTGTTGTAAAAATGCTTGAAAGTTAAAATATTTGCAAGTAAATTCTGTTGACATGGTTTGTGCACTTAGCTAACATTCTCTTTCTTTCTCTCTCCTATTGCTTTGATGGTGCTTATTTGGGTTCCTCTGTCTCTGTGTGATTATGGGGTTAGACAAACTGAACATGGAGCTCCGGCATCATTGTGCACCGTGTTTTGGTACGTTTGAGGGACTGAGAATGCATGCAGCTCCTTGCTTAGCTCCCAAACTGCAGTGTAAATATCAAAAACTGTGTGTCTCTGTTTTTGCAGTTTCCCGGGCTCATTCCTCTCAAACAGCAGAACAGCTGCCAGATGCAAGAGTCCGTCAACTGCAGCTGCAGGAGGAACTGCGACAGCAAATTGAGGAGAAGCGTCGTCTTGAAGCAGAGAGGCGAGAGCAGGAGAGGTTGGAGGAGGAAGCCCTTCAAAGGAGGGTTGCCGAGCAACAGGCACGGCTTCAAGCCGAATATGAAAGAGATGAAAAACTACGGAGAGAGCGTGAAATTCAGGTAAGACTGAAACCAAACCTCTCTTTGTTTCCTTCAAAGTGCAAATTTTATTTTAATGTTGTTCGCACTCACAGAAGCAACAGCAAATTGAGGAATTCCAGCGTCGTCAAGAGGAGTTGAGGGCTGAATCAGAAGCCATAAAGCTTGAAGAAAGGCGTCAGAAGTTAGAGGCTGCAGAGGCATTCAATCAAAAGCAAATGGAACACGCTCAGCTAGACCCATCAAAGGTGGCTAGGAATGCTCATCTAGCCCCACCATCAGAACCAGCACCACTGTCAATTCTGAAGAGCACTTCCCCACCTCTGCGTAGTCCGAGGAGAACAGCAAGAGGCTCACAGTATTCCGATGAATACTTGAACCCTGAACCGCTGTCACCCAGAGCATTAATCAAGGTAACAAAAAATTTTGAATTCATGTTCTTCTCATTGACCAGTCTTACTTCACAGATTTGCTTTCAATAACTGTGTCTATTTTTAGGTCTTGGAAGGACCTACCTTGCCTAAGCAACAGGCTTACCTCGAAGACTCTCTCCCCATTCCCCTGATGCCTGCCACTCGAAGATCCCCCAAGGTGTCGCCCCAGAGGTCACCCAACCGGTCACCTCAGCGCTCCCCTCGGCGGTCTCCGCATCGGTCACCACACCATTCGCCCTCCCGCTTTGTGGCCGCACCGGCCCTAGCTTCCCGTCGCCTGCCCAAGGCCCAGCCCAAGCCCAGAGGACCAAGCGAAGCCATGCAGAATTTGGAAGAACGCTGGAAGGTAGCAACACTTTTACTTACATCACTTGCTGTATCCTGATCGAATTGGTATTAACTCTGGTCTTACTTTTGCATGTGCAGGTTCCTGCGGTTCAGAAAAATGTATGCACGCGGGGGAAACAAAGTGCCCAAGACAGCAACACAGGAAATGTGCTGACTCAGCTTGGCGCTTTCAGGCGCCAGCTTCAGATGGAGCACATGCGTATGGAGGAGAAGGTTCGAGAAAAGCACCAACCCAATCAGTACCACCAGCAGGTGTATCAGCAGCATAGCTCTCAGCGCAGCAACTACATTTGAACAAAGTTTTGTTTGTGTCATTTTTTAAATGTCTCCCCTTTATTTATTCATGTCTTCTACATAAGCTTTTCCTCTGTGATAAGAATTAAAAATGTTTATTTTGTTAATAGTGATTTAGTGCTAGCCTTGAGGCTGTGTTTAGATCTTTTGTATTATGTTGAACGACTCCAGTGTTTAAAATAGTCCTTTTTTGTTGCTTTTTTTATTTTTCATTCATTGTTCTATATTTTAAATTGTTCGCAAATATTTGCATGATGAACTATGCACTCGAATAGCTTTAAAGCAGATGGAATGTAATTCCCTATTCATTGTATTTTTTAAAGTACCATTGTATATCAGATATTAGATAGTTTTTCTGTTTTTTGTTTGTGGGGCTTCCAAGCTTTTTGAAAAGGGTCTTTTTTAAAAAGATATTCTTGTCAGATCTTACAAATAAACATGATTTAAACTGATGCAAACTCTTTCATTTGTTTTCCCATCCTCCTATGTCTGGAAAAAAATGACAAAACACAAGCGAGAAGTGGAATGTGAAAATAACTGGGCGAGCCGTATGAAAACAGAACACCAATACACCGGCGAGCGACAGCGACACTGCTAGACAGAAAGTCATTTTAACACCAAATAGAATGCCTCAATGACCATTTGCCACCGGGCATCTATTTCTTAGACCCATAAGAAGGTTCCTTGTGAATTTCAGACAAATCTGAGGTGGTCGACCATTTTCATCTGAAAAAGCTAAGGCTTTTGGGCCAAAATTTTTTAATGTCTCAAAGTGCAATATGTTGTGCTAGAGCACTCCCTCATGACTCCAAACAATATTTTGAGGATAATTTAGGACCTAAACAGTAGTTTTCCAGCAAAAAACTGGATTCATTCGACCATGCGCCTTAAGGCAGGCAACCCATCGTCCACAGCCTAGTGGGGGCAGGCAGCCCATCGTACACTCCCTCGTGCCGGAGCTGCCTGGGTTACGCAGCGCAAAAGGACCCATCTGGCGAGGACGAGGCAAAAAATAGGACAGCACAACGTTATGGCAGACCAGTCTTTCTTTCGCTTTCAAATTCCAATAAATATACAAATACTAGTTCGTGTAGAACGCAATCACGTGGAGCCCCTCCAGGTCTTCTTGATCATGTCCGAGGCCTTCTCCCCGATCATGTACACGAGGGCGTTGGGGTGCGCGGCGGGCGCATTGGGGATGACGGAGGCGTCCACCACGCGGAGGCCGAAGACACCCTGCACGCGGAGCTCCGGGTCCACGACGGCGGAGGGCTCGCCCACCGGGCCCATCTTGCACGTGCCGACCTGAAAAAAACAAAAACAAAACGCTTTAGTTTTACCAGAGGCGGCTACTTGACGCCGCACTTGCGAACTTTGCGATGCAGTCTGGCCGTCGTTGTTACGCGTTCCGCTCTGGCGCGCACACGGCCACGCGCGCCGGCAGAAAGCGCAGCTTGAGCTTCGGGTTACTGGGCCGCCTTGGCCGCGCCACTGACTGGCACACGCACGCACACACTCACACCGACTGCAGCAAATGCCACACCAGCGGTGATGCATAGCCAGGACGCGCAGGTGCAGAAAAATGGCGCTGCAACGCTCTGCATCTTGGCGGCACGAAACAACAGGAGCCTCTTTGTCAAATTGGAGACACCGGGAGCGCCTGCCAACGGGGAGGTAGGCCGCCCGCCACGACGCACGGCACGGCGGGCTGGCCGATGCTGCATTACCATTACCACTACGGGCCAGACCACAACCGGGCGCCTTAAGGGCGAACAGGGGACAGGATGACGTCATTCCGAAGGGTCGCTCCGTCGCTCTGTCTCTCTCGCACTCGAGGGGAGGCCCGTGGGAGTGCGAGAGAGACAGGGCGCGGCGAGGCGCCGACCTGGTGGTGCAGGGAGGTGGTGAAGTAGCGCGCGGCGCAGGCCCAGTAGTCGTCGCCGCCGAAGGTGAGGTTGGCGCAGCCGGGGAACGGCGTCTCGTGCAGGGTGCTGCCGAAGCGCTGGAAGGCCCTCGTCTTGCTCAACCGCACCGCCTGGAACAACAACAGCGGAAAGAACCCGGTGAGAATCCAGTTTGCTTGCGAGGAGGGCAAGGACTGCGTGCGGGTCGAGGCGAGGCGCCGCGCGGCCCAAAACGGCCACTGGAGTCTGCTTCTAGTTACTGATTGGAAACAAAACGGCCGGTAAAAAAGGAGGAAGCAATGTCGCTTGGCTTCCAATTTCGCGGCCGCTGCCCAGCCGGAGGCCTCCGAGCCAATCGGCAGAGGTCTCTCTCGCTCCCCTCCGGCACGCCCCGCGAGTGCGACGGAGACAGCGCGGCTAGAGGTGACGATTGGGGCTCGGCGACGAGGAAACGGGCATGAACCCGATTGGTCGCGCTCTCGTTGTCGCTGTCTTTGTCTCTCGCCGCGGCGCCGTTGTGTATTCAGTGAAAGGGGATTCGATGGCGAAGCGCGAAGCTGTGGCCAAGCAGCCCGGCTAAACGCGAGGCCAGCCGCTTGGAACGCCAGTGCCGTGGAGGGGCGGGGCGCCAGCGGGCGCCTTGACCACAGACACTACCGGACACTACACGGAAGGACGGAGGCGGGTTCGAATCCCCTTGAGAGTAACTTTTTTTGGCGGACGTGTTGGCTCTCACCGTCTTGATGCCGTGCACCAGGGCCTGCAGGTCGCGAGGGTCCTGGAAGTAGTTGGCGTACAGCTTGGGCCAGTGGAACGGGTTGGCGGAGCGCAGCCTCAGCACGCCGCGACTCCAAGGCCGCAGCAGGATGGGCACCGCGTTCCAGGAGTCCCTGCCCACCACGTCGCCGTACACGCGGCGCCAGAAGACCTCGTCCAGGCCGAGGCTCTTGCGGATGCTGCCGCCGGTGTCGCCGGGCAGCGCGCCGGGGCCGAACACGAGCTCCACGTCGGCGCGCCGGGAGCGGCCCCCGGTGGCGTTGACGGCGGGGACGGCGGGCGTCTGCAGGAAGGCGACGGCCTCGGCGCCGCCCGGCAGCGTCATCGGCCCCGTGCCCTGCAGCGCGTACTCCAGCGCGTACCGCGGCCGCTGCATGCGGCTCTCCACCAGGCTCACGGAGTCGTTGACCAGGAAGGCCAGCCCGCCCATCGCCACGTGGTCCTGCAACACGCCGTTTACAGATACGCCGCGCTGGCCGCGCTAGCCGCGCCGCGATACGAGGTCGCTGTTGGCAGATGCAGGCCGATGCAGGCCGCGCTCGCTCTCAACAAGTGCGCTTTCGTCGCGCTGTCTCTCTCGCACTCATGGGGCGTTCCGCAGCGGTGCGAGAGAGACAGCGCGACGAGGCGGGCTTCGATGCGAGCTTGCAGAGCCGGGGCGGCGCTGGGCGGCGCACGCAATGCAACGCCACGGCCGTACACTGCACTGTACAAAGCGCCGAAGGCAGCCAGCGGCGGCCGGGCCGGTCCGGGCCAGTCCGCCTTCTGGGGAATGAGGGCGACCGAGGACTAGACCGACAACGAGAAGCCATACCCACCTGGAGGTTGAGGCCGACGGGCAGGTCGGCGAGCACGTCGACGCCGTGGTCGCGGAGGTGCTGGCGCGGCCCCACGCCGGACAGCATCAGGAGGTGCGGGCTGCCGATGGTGCCGGCGCACAGGATCACCTCCTTGCGCGCGCGCACCACGCGCACCCGCCGGTCGCGCACGTACTGCACGCCCACGGCGCGCGGCCGGCCGCCGTCGCCCTGGTGGTCGCGCTGCAGCAGCACGCGCGTCACGCGCACGCCCTTGCCGATGTGCAGGTTGGGCCGCGCGCGCGCCGGCCGCAGGAAGGCCTGGAAGGCGGCAGGGCGGTCAGGGCGCGAGAGAGGCAGAGTGCGAGAGAGACAGAGCGTACGTACCTTGGCGGCGCTGCACCGGGACCCGTTCCGCGTGTTGGCCAGCACGCGCGAGAAGCCGAGCGGCGTGGCGGGGTCGTCCAGGTCCACGCCGACCGGGTGGCCCAGCTCGCGGCCCGCGTCCAGGAACGCGTCGAGCAGAGGCGACCGCCACGCCGCGCGCTGCACCGTCAGGTGGCCCCCGCGGGCGTGGTACCGCGACGACGCCAGCTCGGGCACCTGCACAGTGTGGCGGATCAGTTCGACCTGCTTCTCAGTTGACCCACGCCGCGGAAATAATGAATAGCAATGTGGGTAGAAACTCGAGGACACGCTTTGCGGCGCGGCGCGGCGAGGTGTGGGCCCAGCAAAATTCATCGTGTCTCGTCATCATCATCTCCGCCTGCTCCGCCTGCTCGGCCCGCTCGGCCTCTGGAGCAGAAAGATCCCGTGTGCGTTCCGCCGTTCGGGGTTATGGGATTACGCTGCGCGGCAGAACAAGGGGCGTAACACGGACGGGTCGAGCCCACAGTGGGCCAGAAGACCGGCAGAGGAGGTCAAAACTCCAGACGCGTTTCGAGCTCCAGAGTCGCTAAATGGGACTCGAACCGAGCGTGTGACCCCACCAATGGATCGCTCTCCGCGCGAGGAATCCATTGGTGGGGTCACACGTTCGGTTCGAGTCCTGCTTAGCGACTCTGGAGCTGAAAACGCGTCTGGAGCTTCGACCGCCTCCACCGGTCGTCTGGCCCACTGTGGAGCGCGGTGCAACGCGAAGCGCGAACGCAGCCGACGCGCGGCCCACGGCCCGAGTGCGGACGACCCTGACATCATGCAAGCGCGCACTGGCGCACTAGCGCACTGGCGCATTAACAAGTGCATGAAGAAGTACGGCGTCCCGCCCCGTGCCCGCCGTGCCCGCCCTGGCTCGCTGCAGTCGGAAGGCCGACCCGGCCGCCCGCCCGGCACACACCGAAGCGTGCGAGTGCGAGAGAGACGGAGCGACGAAAACAAACGACTCTCGGAATCGGTCCGCTGGCCTACACTGTAACGTCGTAATGAGCAGCTGCAGAGGCCGGCCTGGTCTGGGTCGGTCTTGGTGCTCTTGGTCTTGGTTTCCGCCGCCGGGGCCGGGGCTCGAACCCTTGACCAACATCAACGCGCCACTGGCAGCAGCCAGGCCCGCCAGGCCAGGCGACTCCGACTGATCGTTTGGACGCTCTGTCTCTCTCGCACCCACGGGACGCCCCGAGCGAGTGCGACAGAGACAGCAGGCCTGCAGGCAGCACCCGCTCGGCGCCAATGCCAGTGTGCGAGTGCGCGCCAATGTCAGGGCAAGGCGGCGGGGCCCGGCTCGTAAAAGGTGGCTGGACTGCTGGACTGGCGCGGCGGGACCGGCCGGCTAGATTGAAACGGAACGGCGTCGCTGATGAGCGTTATTACGCACGGCAACAACACCAGCAGACGCATTCCGAGAGTCGCTTTCGTCTGTCAACACAAATTTCTTTCTCGACGGCTAGACGCAGATTATGCGTCTCCGAAAAAAAGGGAGAGGGTCGGACCGAGCACACATCGACCCCCAAAAAACGCGCACTTGCCCTTGCTGCAAGTTGACCAAGACATGCCGAAAACAGGACGGAGCCCGAGGCCGGCAATTTGCTGGGTATTTTTTGAAGCCGCCCGGCCTAGGCCAATGGAGGCTAGCGCAGGGTGGGCCAGAAGGCCGGCGGAGGCGGTCAAAGTCCCCGGCGTTTTGAGCCCCAGAGTCGATAAATGGGGCGCGAACCGAACGTGTGACCCCACCAATGGATTGCTCTCCGAACGAGGAGATCGGGTGCGCGACTGCGCGACGCTCACCTGGTTGTCTTCGGACTTGAGGAAGTAGGGCAGGACGTCCCGGTAGGCCCAGCCGTAGTTGCCGGCGGCGGCCCACTCGTCGAAGTCCTCCGCGCTGCCCTTGGTGTACACCATGTAGTTGATGACGCTGGTGCCGCCCAGGGACTTGCCCCGCGGCCATCGGCACCGGCCCTCCCGCATGGCCAGGCACGCGCCGCCCCGCCCGTTGGGCCCCGTGGCGGGCTGCGGCTCCGTCTCGAAGCCCCAGTTGTAGTCCGTGGACAGCAGGTAGCTCACCAGCACCGGGATGTCGGTGAGGAAGCTTTCGTCCCTGCGCAGCACGACAGTCGGTCAGCGGACTGTCTGCGGGAGTCGTTTTCGTGTGCGTTGGCGACGTACTTGCCCGCCTCCAGCAGCAGCACGCTCCAGCCGGGGACCTCCGACAGGCGGTTGGCGACCACCGAGCCGCCGGACCCGGCGCCCACCACCACGAAGTCGTACTCCTTGAGGATGTTCTCCGTGTCGGCGGGCGTGCCGGCGGGCAGCGCGCGCGGCACGGCGCGCTGCGCGAAGCGCACTAGGGACTCCAGCCACTGCGCGCGCGCGAATCCATGGTGGCGGCCTCCGAGCAGCAGCAGGAGCAGCAGCAGGGAGGGCGCCATCGGGGACCGCGAGGGGGACCGCGAGGAGGACCGGCAAGACTAGCAGCAGCACCAGCGACCCGGGGCACGCGCACCACCCGCACCAGGGCCTGACATGCTACCCGACTGACCGAGTGCGGCATGCCGCGTGGCGCCGTGGTCAGCGGCCCGGGTAGGCCGGCACCTCCAAGGAGCGCTCCGTGCGCGCCCCGCCCCGTCCGGCCCCACCCCGCCCCGCCCCGGCTCGACCCCACCACCCCGCGCCACCACCGCGGCGTCCGCGGCGTTCCAGACAGTTGACCAGACTGCCCTTCGATAGCGACTTACATGCGGTGCCCCACGCAATGCAGTGCCTGCACTGGGAGTACGGGCCGCGGACTGTTCGGGCAGTAGCTGCTTTAATGCCGCAAAGTTGATCAAAACAGTCACAAATGTCTTTTGAAAAATCGTGTTTTGGGCCGACTTTCAGCATCCACTGCGTCCGATCCGAGGCGGGCCCTCGTACTTTCTCAACGGGCATTTGGTCTTTGGACCTTCCTTTAGCATGCCTTTGTTACGGAGTGCGATTATCTGCCTTAGTTTGGGAGCAGTGTTGCCGCAAAATTGATCAAAACACGATTTTTCAGACATTTGTGACCGTTTTGATCAACTTTGCGGCAATACTGCTCCCAAACTAAGGCAGATAATCGCGCTCCGTAACAAAGGCATGCTAAAGGAAGGTCCAAAGACCAAATGCCCGTTGAGGGAGGACGACATACCGCCTCGGATCAGACGCAGTGGCTGCTTAAAGTCGGCCCAAAACACGATTTTTTTAAAGGCATTTTTGACTGTTTTGGTCAACTTTGAGACAATACTGCTCCCAAACTAAGGCAGATAATCGCGCTCCGTAACAAAGGCATGCTAAAGGAAGGTCCAAAGACCAAATGCCCGTTGAGGGAGGACGACATACCGCCTCGGATCAGACGCAGTGGCTGCTTAAAGTCGGCCCAAAACACGATTTTTTTAAAGGCATTTTTGACTGTTTTGGTCAACTTTGAGACAATACTGCTCCCAAACTAAGGCAGATAATCGCGCTCCGTAAAAAAGGCATGCTAAAGGAAGGTCCAAAGACCAAATGCCCGTTGAGGGAGGGCGACATACCGCCTCGGATCAGACTCAGTGGCTGCTTAAAGTCGGCCCAAAACGCGATTTTTCAAAAGACATTTGTGAGAGTCGGTGAGAGGGCGCCTGTCGCGGGCAACCCATCGCACGCGCGAGCGAGAGCCCCTCGCGCGCGGAGTAGCGGCAGCGACCGCTGGCGACCGGACCGCGACCGGCAGCCGTTGGCGCCCTCTGGCGGCGCGTGGCGGAATCGCCGCGGAGTATCTCCGGCGGCGGTCCCGCAGAAGCCCGCGAAGCGAAACGGGCGGTCCACTGGAAGACTCGAGCGAGCGACCAAGGAGCGACCGGATGGATTGCGAATGAGAGTCCCATCGGAAATATCCATCGACGTGTTTCGAAACCTACCTAGCCTCACCTAACCTAACCTAACACAGATGAAACACACGGATTACCCTGTGATAGAAAAAAAAATATCGCAAGGATTATACCCCTGGGGGCAGAAATTGTGTTGCCCCGGTTGACCTTCCCGCCTTTGCCTGCTTCGCCTTCGCCCGAGTCATTACACCTTTTAATTGGCCGCTCATGACACACGGGGCGGGGCGGCGAGGCCAGGGCGGTGTAATTGAGTATAATTGCTGTGTACAGTGGAGTGTGTGTTCATGAAGTGGCCGTACACGGTGTGCCATTACATCGAGAGATGCTGCAGCGGAAAGGCCGGGGGTTGGGGCGGCAGGCAGACGCGTCCGGTGCACAGTGGGCCAGAGGACCGGCGAAGGCGGCCCAAAATCCCGGACGCGTTTTGAGCTCCAGAGTCGCTGAATGGGACTCGAACCGAGCGTGTGACCCCACCAATGGATTGCTCTCCGGACGAGGAATCCGTTGGTGGGGTCACACGTTCAGTTCGAGTCCTGTTTAGCGACTCTGGAGCTCAAAACGCGTCTGGAGTTGTTGACCGCCTCCACCGGTCTTCTGGCCCACTGTGGGGCGGCTTGGGGGCGGTCGGGGCGGGAGAGGCGGCGGGTGGCGCCCCCTGCGGCGGCCGGCGGAAGCAGTCCGTGGCAGCAAAGCGCGCCAAACGCGGCGAACGCGGCGCGGGGCCGTCGGGAGCCGTCGCAGTCCTGTCCCTGTCCCCGGCCGCCGCGCCAGTCCGGCCATCCCCACGCCCACGCCGGCCGCGACACGCGACACGTGCGACGCGCGACACGGACGCGACACGGACGCGACACGTGGTGCTCGACATGTGAGCGCACACTCACGGCAAACGCGACGCCGCGTGTCCCGTCGGAACAGAGACACGGACGAAGGGAATAGAACATTTGAAACGAGCACAAGAATCATAACGCACCGCCGCGACGCGAAAGTGGCGCGAGCCCGCTCCGCTGGGCTCCGCGCGATGCGACGCGAGGCGAGGCGGCTCGTCCCCGAGTCCTGGCCGCCGCCATGCAGAGGGATAACCACAATCGCCAGGTAACGCGGGCAGGCTGGACTTCGGGCACATCGGCCGGGGAAAATAGAGCAGATTTCGCCCCGGTTATTGCACTTTCAGGCGGTTGTTTTTGCGCGCGATGCATCCGCTGCACGGCGGACCCATTTTCACACCTATACTGCAACACATGACCATTCACTCACTCACACACACACATTCCCACACACACGCACAGGATGCTCTCTCTCTCTCTCTCTCTCTCTCTCTCTCTCTCTCTCTCTCTCTCTCTCTCTCTCTCTCTCTCACACACACACACACACACATCCCACTGCCCTCCCCCCGACCAACACCGAGACGCACCGGGCAGCAGTTTGTCAGAGAGGTGGTGTGGGTAGGTAATGGAATAGACCTGTCGAATGATAACGCAGCACGGCCAGGACACGGACCGGGCATGGACCAGGCATGGACCAGGCATGGATGGACCCCGCTCGCTGTTGTTGGCGTCAGGACGAACGGACGGCTGGATGGACAGACGAATGAATGAATGAATCACTGACTCACTTGGCAAGGTGAGTTTTTATCCAAATTTTAAATCGACTAAAAGTAACTGCGAACTCAACCCGCCACGTCTTTGCTCGCAAGTCGTGCCACTCACACACACAGACGGACGCGCGCACACACACACGCACAACACACAGGCACGCCCAGAGGCGCAGAGGGCTGTGTATAAATTACGGAGCGCAGCCTTCCTTTTGTTACGCGAAACTTAAATCATCACGCGGCACGCCGCGCGACGGCTGGGCGGCCGAGGCCGAGGCAGAGGCAGAGGCCGAGGGGGGCGGTGGAAATGCGTGGACGGCCAGGCAGCCCGGCCAGCCCGGCCCTAGCGCAGCCAGCGCAGCCAGCCGCAGCGAGAGGCAGATTCGGACCATGTGCTCAACAATATTTCAACTAAAATACCAGGGGGAGGAGGAAAAGCAGTTTTAAAATTTTTTTGCCGGCCCCGCCTGGGAGCGAAGCCGGGCCGCCGTAGCCGGACACCTTCCCCTTACCCACGCGACCACCGCGACAGCGTGGACGGCAACGTGACACGGCGCCCTGCCGTGGCCGTCGAAACGAAAGCCGCCTCCGCCACGGCGAGGCGGCGAATCTGCGGACCGCGCCGCCTTGCAGTGGCGTGGTCCTGGCTGGCCGCAGCGCCACCGAGCACCGTGTGCACGCGTGCGGGAATTTATTTAGTGACTATCTAGTGTGCCGCGCCGAGCCGCGCCGAGCCGTGCGATGCCAGAAGGTTTATTGCGACGGTCTTTAAAATTCCTTAATTGCGGGGTCGCAGTGGGGTGGCGCGGCCCTCGCCGCCCCCGTACCCATAACTACCCCTACCCTACCCCTACCCCTACCTGCGGCACGGCACGCCACGCCACGCGACCCCTCGTCGGGTGCATTAAGCCGTGCCGGGCCGCATGCTGGTGTGTCGCCATGTGCCGTATGAGGTCATAAAGTGCCCTTCTTTCTCTCAGACTCTCGAGAAATGGGAGCCGCTCTCACACACGCACACACACAAACGCACGCACATGCTGCCAGCGCCCCAGTGTTGTCAACATAAATGAGCGAAAATTCCCACGATGCAGCATCAGTCTCGAAAGGGTTGTGCCGACTGCCGACCCCAGGCTGGTCGACTTGCCAATATTATCTTCTGGGCTTTCGCTCTCGAGAAACTTAACCGAGGTCGGGGGTTGGCAACCCTAAGGACACTGGAGCACCGTGGGAATGTTTCGCTGCCAGTGTGGCAATACTGCCCGCCGTTTTCAAAATGGCGGCCATGGAAGACACGACGACGGGTGTGGATACAGGGCCATTGGGCCCCTCGAAAACCTCCTTCGGCCCGCACTCGGCGGGGACTCGCCCCGGACGAGCCACTGTGCGGCGACGACGGTGATAATTATTTGCGACTTTGGCGACTGCACTTTTGGCGGCGGCGGAACGCGGCGCGGAATGCCGAGTGCGACGGAAGTGCCGCGGCGTGCGCCACTCCGCCAATGCCGAGAGTCGTCGCTCCGTCTCTCTCGCACCCACACGGCACGCCGCGCGAGTGCGAGAGAGACGGAGCGACGAAAACGACTCTCAGGCTGCCGCCCCACTGCGGACAACGTCTGCATTCTGCAATTGATATTCCCGCCGCCCATTCTCACGTCCACCTCCTCCATTCCCGCCATTTTTCCGCCGCGTCCCCCTCGTTCTGCGGCTGGTGAAGTAGGACGTTGAAGCAGCTGGTGAAGCAGGGTGGTGAAGCAGGCTGGTGAAGCTGACCGGTGAAGCTCCCCGTCGGGCAGTGAATGAGCTGCTGTGGGAATGCGGTGCCTCGGAAGTACAGTGGAAATGCGCGGAGCGGGACAAGGAGGCCGACAATAGGACGGGGCGGGGGCGTGGCGGGGGCGCGGCGCACGGGGGGTCATTCCGGGGGTCGGGAGGGGCGCGAAGTGGCGCGTCGGCGTCCCGGGGGACTGGCTGGGGACCTGGGGATCCTGGGGGGTCCTTCCGGGGCCGTGCGTCGGCGGGACGCCTGCGGGACGCCCCGTTGGAGGCGCTGTGTCGACAATCGACCTAAATCATTCAATTCAGTTGTGTGTATGGCTGCAGCGCGCAGCGGCTGCGTCAGCAGCGCAGCCCCCCTGGGCCCCCCAGGCCCCCCAGGCCCCCCAGGCCCCTCGGCCGCAGCGCTGTCACTGTAGCACGCCAGCCTTAGGCCTTGGGCCTGCCCTGCCTGGCCCTGCCTGCTTGGCCCACTCCGATACACTGTCAATAAAGCGCCGAGTGATTTCACTGCTTCCATTCCAGACTCCAGAAGGCTGCTCCGGCATTCCGGCAGTCCGGAATCCATTCCCCGGGCTCTCCAGTCTCTCTCTCCCTCTCTCTCTCTCTCTCTCTCTCTCTCTCTCTCTCTCTCTCTCTCTCTCTCCAGGGCGGACTCGGTGTTGGCCTCCTGCATGGCACAGCCAGGCAAGGGGCGGGCAGGGAAGGGCCTGAATAAGAAGGCTATTACTGCCAAGAAAAACACAATCCCGAGGGAATAATGCGACATGTGGAGGAGTAGAGGGGGGGCGCAGAGGGCCGACCCCGTCCGGGGCCCGTCGGGGCCCGTCCCCTCTCCGCCGCTCCGCCGTGCCAGCAGGGAAAAGGGTCCACTGCTATTCGGTGGGGGCACTGAGGGCACTCGGCGTCGTCGGTCAGGTTAGGCGGCGTCCCCGGGCCCGCCAGCGCCGCCAGGCCGCTGGGCCCAAGGCCTCGGACTCGGGGCAGACTCCTGCAGACTGTGGTTGGCAACCCTGTCGTCCGGATATTGCCTAGCAGGCAGGCTGCGGTTGGCAACCCTGTCGACACTGGTGCACCGTGGGAGTTTTCGCCTCCTTACTGGTGGCAGCACTGCTCCGAGGGTTCCCTGTTCCCTTCTCACCATTATCGCAGCGGCATAAATTCGGATCGGACACGTCCGGCTGGCTGGCTGGCTGCGTCCAGGAGATTCAGGTGGGCCGAGCGATTTCTCATACACCGTTCGACACTGCGGGGAAACTTTGTCCGGGGACACCGATGCGTTTTCCAGCCAGCCGGCGTCTTGGGTGGGGCGGGGCGGGGCGGGGCGGGGTGGGGCGCGGTGGGGCTACCCGGCTAACGAGCTTATTATGAGTCAGGCCCACTCATTCTGCAGTCGGTTCATTTAACTCGCAAAGATACGGTCTCGAGCTCGTATAAAATATGGCCTCGGGGAAAGACTTACTCCCCCCGCGGGACATCGACGAGGGCCCCGCAAGGGCCCCGCAAGGGCCCCCAGTCGCCACCTGCAGGTTCTTACATTTTTGTGGGGAAAGAGGGAAAAAGGCTCACCTTGGCGGGAAAAAAAAGGATTTTCTGTCGGCACACGGTGTAAAACTTTACGAAGTAGTTTTGAGCAGAAGTAAGGTAGCCGGAAGGGCAGTAGGAATTCGGTGAAACTTTTCAGTTCGGAAACGAAACAGTTATACGAAAAATATCCTCTTTCAGCAAATTTGTGGAAACGGGGTGTTTTCTTCGCGGGCGCCTCAAACAGTCCAGGTTCCGAAGAGGGTGTTTCTCAGAAGTCCCGGCTTCCAAAACGAAGGGTCATGTTGAGCTGGGCTGCCGCTCAACCTGTCCGAGGCGAGACGGCGCTCATACCTCACGCGGGGCTCCGAGAGTCGTCGCTCTGTCTCTCTCGCACCCAAAGGGGACGCCCCATGAGTGCGAGGGAGACAGAGCGACGACTCTCGGACTGACCGACTTCAAAAGAAAATGGCGGTGCGTTCCGTTCCGCCGTTCTGGACGGCCTCGGCTCGGGCAGCAGTGACGCAAAGAATTAGAAACGACAGCGGGGGAAAATGAAACTCGTATCAGAATGGCGAACACGTCAGTCTGTCCGTCTGTCTGTCTGTCCGTCCGCCACCGTTGGCGTGTGTCCGAGCGCGCCCTTCAAACGACAGACTTGACGTCCCGGCCGCCAACGAAAAATAATCCGGTCTGAAAACGCTAATGAGACAGCAGCGCCGAAAAAGACTGGCAACCCTCATCACCTTGCGGCACCCCGACCCACCAGCTCCTCTTTCTCTCCCTCGTCTCTCTCTCTCTCTCTCTCTCTCTCTCTCTCTCTCTCTCCCTCCCTCTCTGTCTGTCTGTCTCCGGCTTGTCCGGTTGGCCTCTTGGTCCTGCTCGCGGCGGGGCTGAATGTGAAAGTTTGTGCACAAGGTTTCAAGTGCCCCCCCAGTAATGCTCTAAATGGCCCGGGAGGCCCTCTGCAGCCTGGACGGCAGCCTGGACGGGGTCGCCCCGGTCTCGCCGGTCTGGGCACCGCCACTGCAGAGCGTGCGTGCGCGCGCGTGTGTGTGTGCCTGTGTGTATGTGTAAGTGTGTGTGTAAGTGGAAAGGGGCTGGAGCAATGCAAACGGCCCAGCACGCGACGCAGTGTTTGGCTAAACTTGGCGTCGTATTAATGTATCACGGGATCGGGCTCGCGCACATTGTACATTGTACA